GGCGCCTCCACACCTCTCCCCCGCACGGTCACCGGTGCGAAGAACGTAGGGGCAGGGACCAAGAGCACCACCGCGCTGACGCTGCAAGTACCACTCACGGAGCTGCTGAGGGCCGGGGACGGTGCGAGAGCGCTGCTGCTGCTGCGGCTGCTGCTGCTGCTGCTGCTGCTGCTGCTGCTGGCGCTGACCACCCCCAGAGCTGCTCCGCTGGGACGAGCCACTCCGACCCCCGCCTCGATCACCACCCCCGCCTCCACCGCCACCCCCGTCTCCACCGCCACCTCCCCCACCAGGACCGTCGCTCCCACCGCTCCCACCGCCTCCTCCGCTACCACCTCCGCCGCCACCTCCGCCTCCACCGCCGCCACTAGTACCTCCACTCCCGCCACCACCTCCACCGCCACCCCCACTCCCCCCGCCACCCCCACCTCCTCCGCCACTGCCTCCTCTAGATCCACCCGCTCCCTTGCCCCCCTTGCCCTTGCCAGAGCGGCGTCTGCCGCTGGGGGCAGACGCCGCACCGACCGACTCAAAACCAGCGAGGTCGGCCGTAGCAGCAGAGGCGACAGAGGGCAGCAGGGGGGAAGGAGAACACCCCTCAAAGATGGGGGTGCGAGGGTCACCCCTAGAGGCCCCTACAGCGACTATACTCTTCTCAGCCGCTAGCAGGGACTCCTCAAGGAGGTCGACAGTGAGGGTGGTGGGACAGACAGAGAGAAACTGGTCCCTAACGACACGAAGGGACTCAGGAAGACGGGTGACGAGAAAGTAGAGAGTGATATACATGGGAGGAGGGTTTGCGGCGCGGAACTCAGCAGGAAGGGCAGCGCGGTAGCGAGCGTCACTAGCACGGAGGTGGGTAACGAGGTCAGCGACAGTGGGAAAGGAAGCGAGGTCAGGGAAGAGAAACGGTAGCATGAGGCGGCTAAGGGTAGCGGAGGAAGGGGAGGAGTAGCGTGCAACTACAGCGTCGTACAAGGCCTGAGCGGTCTTGCACTGACTAAAGTGGGCACGCTCAGAGGAAGGGAGGTGGCGACGCACAGCAAGACGTGCAGCAGCATCGCGGGTCGCCCACTTGGAGCGAACGGCAGAGTCAGCATCAGCAGGCGGGGCAGGGACAGCTCCAGAGACAAAGTCAAAGAGAGAGACCTCATCTATCGCATCACACAGTAAGTACAGCTGTAGGTCTTCAATCCAGACGGCAAAGTCAATGGCCCTCCCCTCAGCGTCAAAAGTAAGAACATTGGGGGTGGCCATGGCAGCAGCTGAAAGTCTCACCGGGCTGGAGGAGTCGGGTAGGTCAGCAGCAGAGGAACACAGCTCAGGGACAGCAGCACGGCTCCTCAGGTGGCTCGCGTGGCTCAGGCGGCTCGGGCGGCTCGGGCGGCTCGGGCGGCTCGGGCGGCTCGGGCGGCTCGGGCGGCTCGCGCGGCTCGGGTGGCGTAGGGTCTCACGGGCGGCGCGGGCTGCTGGGGCTGCTCACGTGCAGCACGGCGGGCTGCAGCAGGGCCGGTGGCGGGCTGTAGCAGGGCCGGCGGCGGGCTGTAGCAGGGCCGGCGGCGGGCTGTAGCAGGGCCGGCGGCGGGCTGTAGCATGGGCCGGTGGCGGCTGTAGCAGGGCCGGTGGTGGGCTGTAGCAGGGCCGGTGGCGGGCTGTAGCAGGGGCCGGTGGCGGCTGTAGCAGGGCCGGTGGCGGGCTGGGGGGCTGTAGGCGGGGCCGACGCGGCGGGCTATAGCAGGGGCCGGTGGCGGGCCTAAGCGGGGCCAGCGCGGGGCCGACAGGGCGTAGGTGGGGCCGGCGCGGGGCCGAATAGGGGCCTAAGCGGGGCCAACGGAGCCTACGCGGCCCCGACACGGGGCCGAGACGGGGCCTGGGCGGGGCCTACGCGGGGTCGACGAGGTGTACGCGGGGCCTACGCGGGGTCGACGAGGTGTACGCGGGGTCGACGAGGTGTACGCGGGGTCAACGAGGTGTACGCGGGGTCGACGAGGTGTACGCGGGGCCTACGCGGGGTCGACGAGGTGTACGCGGGGCCTACGCGGGGTCGACGAGGTGTACGCGGGGTCGACGAGGTGTACGCGGGGTCGACGAGGTGTACGCGGGGTCGACGAGGTGTACGCGGGGCCTACGCGGGGCCGACGAGGGGTACGCGGGGCCTACGCGGGGCCTACGTGGGGCCGACGAGGGGTACGCGGGGCCTACGCGGGGCCGACGAGGGGTACGCGGGGCCGACGAGGGGTACGCGGGGCCTACGCGGGGCCGACGAGGGGTACGCGGGGCCGACGAGGGGCCTAAGCAGGGGCCGACGAGGGGCCTAAGCGAGGCCGACAAGGGGCCTAAGCGGGGCCGACGAGGGGCCTAAGCGGGGGCACGACTGGAGGGGCGACTCGGAGGGTCGCTAAAAAAAATGCGCGCCTCGGGGCGCGCTTCGGTGGGCCCTAGGAACAGGCCCTAGGAAGGGACCTGCTCTGATTCCATGAGAAAGTACGAACGAGAAGTGAAATGACTATGAACGAAGAGAGTACAAATAGGAAACCCTAATTGGGTTGTACCCCCTATGGGATACCCCACTATAGCCTACAGAAACAAGTAAGCTATATGTTCTGACAAGAAAGAGCAAGCTGCCTTCTCGGCCCTCAAAAACATTTTGTGCTCACCGCCCGTGCTTCACATCGCGGGTCCACACCGTCCGTTCGAGCTCGTCACTGATGCAAGTGACATCGCTGTGGGAGCAGTACTGTTGCAGGATTTCGGGAACGGCCTCCAACCAAATGCGTATGAGTCCCGCAAGCTGCACCCGCCCGAACGCAACTACCCGATACACGAGCGCGAAATGTTGGCGATCGTGCACGCGTTCAAGGTTTGGCGGTGTTACCTGACTGGCGCCGACGTGACAGTACGGACACACCACCGATCACTACAGTACCTACGCGCCCAACCAAATCTCGATCCGCGACAGATTCGCTGGTTGGACTACCTCGAGTCCAACTTCCACTACACGGTTACGTACAAGAAAGGCGCATCTAACATCGCCGACGCACTCACCCGCCCTACCGCCCAACTCCATGCCATCCTACTCGCCCAAACCAACCCGCTTTTAACAGGCCTATTCACCCACGGATACCGCACCAACCCATTTCTCACGCCCGGAAATTCATAGCAACTGGCAGAAGCTAAAGGAGTTTATTACGTAAAAACAGGCACCAACCGCATCTGGGTACCCGCGTACTCACTACTGAGGGAGCTGCTACTGCAGGAGGCACACGACGGAATTACCTCGGGACATTTTGGGGTAGAAAAAACGCGACAGCAATTGCAGCGGTATTACTACTGGCCGGAGCTGTTGACCGACGTGCAGCAGCACGTGGGCTCGTGCCCCACGTGTCAGGTGATGAAGAGCTCGAGGAAGCGGAAGGTGGGTCAATTGCAGCCGATACCACCGCCCGAGCGCGCCTGGCAGCAGGTCACCATGGACTTCGTCACAGGGTTACCTTTGAACCCTGGGGGTAACGACGCGGTGATGGTCGTCGTTGACAGGTTGACGAAGATGGCACACTTCGCTGCGTGCAAAAAGTCGATCTCAGCCGAGGAAACCGATCGTCTGTTCATCGCAGCCATTGTTCGCCTGCACGTGATACCAGCAGCAATTATCAGCGACAAGGACACGAAGTTCACCAGCAACTTCTGGAAGAACCTCTGGGAGCAGTTCGGGACCAGGCTACAGTTCAGTTCGTCGTACCACCCCGAGACCGACGGCCAAACGGAGCGGACGATCAGACGATGGAGCAGTTGATTCGTGCCACATGCGACGACCCCACGACCTGGGAGCAGCAGCTACCGCTGATCGAGTTCACGTACAATAATGCCACGTCAGCGACGACGTAGCAGTCCCCCTTCTACCTGAACTACGAGCAAAACCCTTCAGTGCCCATGACGCCGAGTCCGGACAACCCAACACCACGTGCACAACAATTTGCCCAAATTCTGCAAGCTGCCCGCACCAGAGCCGCAGAAGCAATTAAAAAAGCAAACGTCATCGCTAAGCGCAACGCTGACCGCCACCGCCGCCCAGTCACATACCAGTCAGGGGATTACGTACTGCTCGACACGCAAAATCTGCGACTGCCCGACGTACCAAAACTTCGACCGCGCTACTGTGGCCCATTCCAAATCAGCCACATGATCACGCCAGTAACCGCGCACCTATTGTTACCGACCGACTGGTACATCAGCCCTTCGTTCCACGTCAGCTTGCTTCGCCCCTACATCCCAACCACAAGCCAACTGCCTCGCCACCGCCCGCCATCCATGACTCGCCCTGCATCAGAGCTGATCATCGCGCCCGAAAAATTCCTGAGCCATCGGATTCGACACCCCACGGGAATCAAGAGGATTGAATTCCTCGTTCGCTGGAAGGATCGCACGCCAACTGAGGACAGCTGGGTGCCCCTGGCCAACATCGAAAACCACCCTGCCCTGCAAGTGTACCTGAGGAGCCGGGGATTCCGCGATATACACGCACTTGCATAGCGGAGGGGGCTTCTTGAAGGGGGGGGTAGTGTAAGGAATTTTCTCGGCATTCTTTACGGAGCCCGACTACATCGCGTACAGCAACAGCCGTTGTTCGCCCGTTACTGCTAACGGGGCTTCGCCGACTTCACGCGCACTGTTTCACCAAACCTCGCACTGCTGGCCTGGCCGTGTCGGCCTACGCTTCGGGACTAGCCCGAGCCTCGTTTCCAGCGTAGCACTAGCTACCGTCATCGCCCGGATATAAGACAGTGTTGAATAGTAGACAGGGGTTGTCTACTATACGGGTGTCTCTTATAAACAAGCTAGCCTTTTTTTACGACACCTATTTGTGTGTACGAGTTAAGACATATATGTCTTATAATCAGAACCAGGGTTTAGGGGTTTTCTTATAAACAGGGGGTGTCTTCTTAGCTAGCTTTCCTACTTTAGGGGGGTACATGCATACAGTCATGAATCTCTACTTCTACTTAACCCCCCTCAGTCACCGCCTCCTCACCTGCACTAACATCAGGCTCTACACCCAGGTCTGGCACTCGCCAGGCATGCCTAGCCGTCTCCCTAGGCTCGATCATGCGGTCAGCCTCGGCCGCCGCTCCGCGGTAGTTGGGGGTCTCCTGGTACAGCACCTCCAGGCCGGTTGCCACGGCCACCTCCCGCACGCCCTCCGCCTGCATCGCCTCCTCCTCCTCCTCCTCCTCCTCTGGAGCTCGACCGAGCAGGCGCGTGTTGTCGCCTGTGGTCCCCCCGAGAGACATGTCCGCGGAGACATCGGTGGTGCTCCTGGCGCGCAGGTGAGACATCACCAGGTGGTTCTCTGTTCCGTCCAGCTTGCTCGAGATCCCACAGTGGCGGAACGCGTCGATGATGATCTGCTTGGGGACTTGATCCCAAGCCTCCGCGATCCACCGCAGCACCACGGGGTGCGGAGGCCTCCGCAGGTTCCCTGCGGGTGGGACAGAGGACGGGGTAGAGAGATGTAAGAGACACGGATATGAAGGAGCATTTTTAAGACAAGGACACGAAACAGAACATGAATAAAACCGTAAATGAAGGACCAACTCACCCTTCTTCGTCTTCAGGTGAATCCCTTCACGCATGAACCACCTGGTGTAGCGCGCTCGCACAGCAGCCTTGAAGCACCGGTTGATGGAGACGTCCAGGGGTTGAATATGGCTCGTACAACCCGCTGGGATGACTGCAGGGGTGATGCTGTGCGTGCGGTACGACTGAAGCATGGTCTGGGTGATGTGACCGCGGTAGGAGTCCAACACTAGCATCGCCCGCCTTGCGTTCTGGCCGCGCTGGGGGTTCAGATGGGGCAGCACCTCCTTGGAAAGCCAGGTCTGCACAGCGGTCTCGTCCATCCACCCGTTGTCCTGTGCTTGGACCACGATTCCTGCCAGGCACACAAGGGACAGACGGGCATCAGCACAGTGGGGCACGCTCATCAGGTAGTCGCACGGTTGAATTCACGCTCGCTTACCTTCCGGAATCTCACAGTTGGGGACGTTCTTCATCTTGAACCACACCCACGACCGCAGCTTCTCCCCGGATGCAGTGCACGCGAGCATCACCATCAAGCGCGTCTTCTGGTAGCCTGCAGTGCGGATTGGGACCGAGCGCGCGCCACGGTGCTCGATCGTCCGTTCGGCTGGCATCTCCACGAATAGTGGAGTCTGGTCCGCGTTGATGATGCGGGCCAGGTCGATTTTGTGCCGCGCCCTGTTGATGCGCACAAACTTCCAGAAGGACTCGCAGTCCTTCGCGCACTCTGCAAACGGGAGAAGCGCAACGAAAGCACGGGATGGTTAGACACTGGGTGAGGTACATGCATTCAATAGAGCGCCAGACGAAATCCTTCAACACGCACCTGCCGACAGACGTTGGCCGACCTTGGTCTTCACCCGCATCACCAGGTTCCAGCGGTCACGGAAACGCTGACTCCAGTGAGAGCTCGCGTTCCGGTTCTTGCCGGGGTAATGCTTCTTCATCCACTCGCGGCTCCACTTCTGGGTGTCCTTCACCGAGATGGCCACCCCGTTAGCGCGCTGAAGGCAGATGTAGCGGTACAACGCTGCCTCCATGTCGGGGTAGTGTAAGTGGCGCCCCCCCCCCCGTGCATCCGCTTGCGGCAGTTGGCCGCGCCCTTGTAGACGCCCGCTTCCGCCTCCGCACACCAGCGTCTGATGCAGGCGATGGACGCGGTTGACTCCACGCTCGTCTTCTTCAAGGAGCCGAGCTCCTGATAGCGGCGCGCCCACTTAAGCTTCTCACGCACGGTCCAACTGCGGCGCTTCTTCGTAGTGTCTTTGCTGCGAGGGGAAGGTGGGCGGGTGTTGGGATTATGGAGGGTGGGGTCCCTCGGCGTTACCTTCTCAGGGAACGTGGGAATCGGGCCCGCCGCCGCCGCGTACTCATCGTCGCTGCCCAGCGGCTCGTTCACGACGATGTCGTCAGGATTCGGCGCCTTCTTCGCCTTCTTCTTAGCCGCACCCTTGCTGGATCCCGGGTCTCCGTCGGATGTCAGCTTCTTGTTGCTTGTGCGGCGACGAGCAGGGGCTTTAGCAGGGGCCTTAGCAGGGGCTTCCGCGACCTTGACTTTCCCCTTCTCCGCAGCGGTGAGTATCGGGCGACGCTCCTCCCCCGGACCGTCGTCGTCAGAGAGCACCACGCGGGCCCGCTTTGACTTGGACTGTAGGCGATGGCGCAGCCTCCGCTTCAGTAGCGGGACGTCATCGTCGGTCCCAAAGCTCCATGGGTCGTCGTCGCCGCCTTCCTCGCCTTCCGCATCCGCAACTGCGGCCGCATCCGCAGGCGCAAATGTCTCAAGTTCCGCCCCCGCCTCGTCGTCAGCCTCCTCATTCGCATCCACCGCCGCTTCCTGTGCATCCGCCGCTGCCTCCGCGTTGTTACCATGCGCATCTTTACCTCCGTCGTTGTCAGAATCACCAGCATGCCACTCTTCCACCTCGTCGTCGCTCCCGACCGGCCGATTCCACCACTCGTCCTCCTCGATGTCAGCAGGACCTACATCATCGCCTGAAGCGCTGTCGTCGTGGCCGTTCTTCGGCCAATCCTCCTCGGCGTCGTCGCCGTTCGCTTCGTCTCCGTCGTCCTCGTCACAGCTCGCACCGGAGGCGGCGGTAGGACTTGCCGCCTTGCTCGCGTTCTTCGCCATGGCTACACGGATGTCATCGCCGGGCGAGTTAATTCGCCCGTAGTTATTAAACTGCACGTGAGGACGAGGTGAGGACTTGCCTACTGGTACTTTGCTGCGCATGGTTAGAGAGCCTGCCGAGAGCAAGGTTGAGACGAGTATTCAACCTCCTTGAGCACGAAATGAAGTGAGAGCCCGACTACCCCCCCCAGCCAGAGTGCCCCATCCACAGGTGCCGAGCCGCTCCTCTACGAGGCATCTCCTCGTAGAGGACAGCCCTCACGCTGCCAACGTGCTGCCAGCAACGTTCTGGAAGCATCCATGCGCTCCTGGCAGCAAAACGACGCTGGCAGCATCATTAGATGCTGCCAGCACAGAGGAATGTTGCCAGCGGTGGCAGCTCCCTCACGTGGAAAGTGTGGGCGCTGCATGCATCACCACCGAGGTCGGCATGTTTAAATGAAATTGGTCTTTGGGTGGTTTCTACACACTTTGCAAGTGTTACAGTCAACTTATTTTTTTTTCCATTTATAAGACTTATAAGACACCCTAAACCATCCCGTTTACAAGATAACTCAAGCATTTTTGCCCGTGTACGAGATAAGACATATATGTCTTATATCCGGGCGATGACGGTAGCTCGCACGCACCGCATTACCGTTTGCATGTTTCGCGTATAAATGTTCGCTCATGCATTCGCTCACATTTTTGTACTCGTTTTGACGAACTTGCAAATTTACAAGTGAGAATTGCTAGGCTGATACCGTATTACCCCGGACATACCACCCTAGGGTGCTATGATAACTACACAAAAAAAAGGGGGGGGGTCTTGTCATCGGAAAAAGCTACATTGCACCCGGGTCGTTACATAATGTATATTTTTTTAAGAGCACAAAAGGTTGAGAACAAAATGTACATGTTTGACGCGGTGGTAGATTGTTGGTTGGGTGCGCAAAACCGAGGACTGGGCGATAACGTTAGTCTCGTGGGTTAGCTGCCACAATGCAAGCTCCAACAAGGCCCACAGTCAGGCCCTGATTGGACAGAAAACACACCCCCTCGTCGCTCGACGGGGATTCATGCAGTCACTAAGGCGGAGCGCCCGCAACAGCCTCAGCTGCCTCGCTGAGGCGGTCACGTCCTTATACTGAGAAGGAGTTCATCCTTCTTTCTGTGCAGTGGCTCCATTCCACGAACTCGAGCAATGCTCGGCAGAGTGTGCTAACACCAACTGCCTCCTCGAACCCTTTCCTAGCATAAATTCAGGGATGCCATGGCCTGCGACACCAACGTTCACTAGGCTTAGATGGCTACCTCTCCAGACTCCAGTAGCACAGTGGTTAGGCGGCAGCGGCCTTCCGTCACCCAGTCACCCGCTGCTGCGGGCACACGGCGTTCGCCCCGGCCCGTTCTGCAGAAACCGTCACCCCCCGTGAGTCGCGCCACCAACGATGAACCGAGCAGCAGCGCGACCCCTCCTATGCCGGCGCTGCCGAGGGTGAATATTCCTTCCTTCCTGGAACAAACACGCCCCCAGGGACCTCCGAAGCGCAACGCGGATGCCGACGCTCCTTCCCCACGTCATCGCATGTCGAAACGTGTTCGTCATGCGTACACCGCCAAGGAGAAGCTCCACTGGCTGAAACTGCAGGAATCGCAGCCGGACCTGTCAAATCGAGCTTTGGCCAAGCTGGCGAAGGTGCAGCCCTGCCAGATCCGCGAGTGGAAGCGGATGAAGGAGCGTCTGGAGGTCGCCTCTGGATGTCGCCGTCGCCTCATGGGAGCTGGGCGCCGCGCGAAGTACCCGTTCATGGAACGAGCCGTGTATCGGCAGTTTCTTAAGCACCGCGCTAAGGGACTCGCCGTATCGGTCAGCATGCTGCAGCAGTGGAGCGCCAATTTCATGAAGCACCGGATGCCTGGCGTGATTTGGCGCGCTTCACAGCGCTGGACTAATCGTTTCCGCGCTCGCTGGCACCTGGCTCGACGGGTGAAAACGAAGATGGGCCAGAAGTTAGCTGCGGGTAAGTTGTCCTTGAATGGATGCATCTATATCTGAGCTTTGCTAGCTCTTAATGTTTTCTCTGTGTTTTGTTGTGCGTGCAGATTGCAAGGCTAAGGTTGAATCCTTCTGGGAGTTCCTGATGCGAATGCGCACCCTTCACGACTACCCGCTCGACCTGATCGTGAACGCGGATCAGACTCCTCTGTTTTTGGAGATGCCGGCCGAGCGTACAATCGAAACGAAGGGAGCGCGGACGGTCCACGTGCGCACTGCCGGCTATGAGAAAGAACGCGTCACTGTCATGCTGGCAGTGACGGCGGGAGGGCTGAAGCTTCCTCCATATGTCATTTTCAAACGCAAAACCATCCCCAAAGTGCCCATCCCAGCTGGTAAGTATCCAGCTATTTCAATGTTCACTCTAGTTGTTGTATCCATTACTCCCTCTAACCACTCGCTCTCTTTGTGTTGTGAACGGCAGGTGTGGTCGTCCGTGCACAAGAGAAGGGGTGGATGGACGAAGGCCTTGTGCAGGACTGGATAACCCAGGTACTTGTGCCGTTTCTGAAGCCCATCCGCGAAAGAGACGGACGCCGCAGGGAGGCGTTGGTCGTCCTGGACTCCTACCGCGGCCATTTGACCGAAGCCGTCGGTCAAACCATGCGAATGTTCCGTCTGACGCGGGCGGTCATCCCGGGGGGGTGCACCCCGCTTCTGCAGCCGCTAGACGTGTCCGTGAATCGCGCGTTCAAGGCCGGTACGCGTCACCGCTATGGCACTTGGTTTGAAGACATCGGGATCAACACGAGGACGCGTGCAGGTGAGATGGTCCCTTGCTTTCCGATCGTGTTGTTGTGCATGCGTGCCTGTGTATTTCATCAAACAACTCGGTGCGTGCCTTGCCCATCCCTCAGGCAATCTGCAAAAGCCTCCCGCGGAGACGGTTCTGAAGTGGATCGACGAGTCCTGGCAGGAGGTCCCAGAGGAGCTGATCAGGAAGTCCTTTGTCACCTGCGGGATTTCCACCAAGCCCGACGGCAGCGAAGACCACCTCGTCCTCGCACACCTGCGGGACAAGGGTGAGGTGGAAGTGCTGGAGGATGTGAACGAGATGGTTGAAGACGAGGTCATCCCCAACCCCTACTTCGAGGAGGCCCGCGTGCCGGAGGAGGTGCTGCAGGCGGACGACGACGCCATGCATGTGGAGCAGGACGAAGAGGATGCGGATGCGGAAGACGGAGATGGGGAAGGGTACGGGGCTGGAGAAGATGGGGATGCAGATGAGTGGAGCGAGGCCGGCTCTGACTGGTGGCTCCCCGACCGCTTTGACAGAGAGGAGGTTGAGGAATGGCATGCTGGGGACGATTCCTAGGAGGAAGGGCTTCTTCTGTATAGGTAGATACCGTAGCATTCTGTCTGGATGGTAGTAGGCCCCATCTGAATGAAGGAAAGACTGTGATGGGAGTGATATCGCTGTATAGCGTCAAACGTAGCTTGTTTGTGCTGATGTTAACATGTACATGGTTAATCATTGGAAACCCAGTGCTATTTAGGCAAAAACTGCATTATTACCCGTACATAACACCCCCCCCCGGTTGCTATATCGGATCGCCCCAAAAGGGGGGGTATAGTAGAAATGAGGCCCGCTATAGCACCCCCCCCGCACAAGCCACCCGGGGGGTGCTCTATTTCGGCGGGTGGTATGTCCGGGGTAATACGGTATGAGGCAGCTCTGATAGGGGGCCGTAGGAACACGCCCTTAGTGCAATTCTCGCTACTTCGATTCATTGCACCCGTAACAGTTCCCCACTGTGTAAAAACACAAATATATGATCACTACAAACAACACACACAGGATCTGGCAAACCCGTGCATCAGTACCATCTGTGCGTCTTGCTGAGAAGGATATAGCCATCCCATCCCCAAGGGTTCTTCCCTGGGCTGAGCCAATAGAAAGTGTACACCATGGCAGCAGAGGCTATTAAAGTGGCCACTGTGGCTAAACACCCAGGCACCCGAGAGATCTTTCTCTGAAGCTTCCTAGCCACGGCGTCTGTCTGACGGATGGTGGCCCGTTCCTCCACCTGTGATTGGTCGAGAGATCTCAGAGCTTGCGCGTGCTGATTGAAGGGGAATGGGGGGGAAGGGGGAGTGGGAGTGGGGAGAGGGGATCAACATCGAGGGCTGGCATGCAATCGTCAGCAAGTATCGTGGAAGGAGTGGGGTAGTGGGTGAAAGAATGGTGCTACAAATAGCGATGGAGAGTGAGACGCTGGATGGAAGGGCAGGAGAGGAAAGGCCATGTGGAGCTACAGCAGCTGGTGGTGGGTTAAGGGCAGAGAGGAAGCGAGGGGAGAAGGAAGCAGCGAGAGAAAGAGAGGGAGCGTGAGGGGACGGGGAGCACCTGGCAGCGGATGGCGTGCAGGAAGGCTCTGAGCAGCGCATAGGGGGCGAGCTGCAGCTTCAGCTCCTCCCACCGCCGCTCCATGCCACCCAGCATGTGCCGCGACGTGTCCACCGCCCCGCTGTGCAGCCGCTCCTGGTGTGTTGAGATGGGTGGATGGTGCGTTGGGATGGGTGGTGATGGATGGGCAGTGATGGGTGGGCAGTGATGGGTGGGCAGTGATGGGTGGGCGGTGGGAGACGATGAGCAGATCAGCACATGGTCGGGAAAGCGGAAGGAAAAGGTGAAATCAATAGGTGTGCCCAATGGGGCGCAAGCATGCATAGTCCACCGACAACAACCATCCAAAACACGCCATGGCATGGCACGGTATGGCATGGCATGACATGGCACAGCGTGGCACGGCAAGACACGGCACGGCACGGCACAGCATGGCATGGCATGGCACGCACCCATTGGGAGTAGCAGGCAGGGTTCTCGATGAGGCACCACACCATGATGGCACCCGCCTCCTCCCTCGCCTCCTCCGACCCTGCATGCATGCATGAAAGCACGGCATGGGGGACCAGCTCACACGTGAGGACAAGCAAGCAACCGTGTCTAATGCGCCTCAAGAGTTGTTCTGAGCCTCCTTTGAGCCTGCTTGCTCGCCGGGCAAGGGAGGAGAAGAGCTGAGCCCTTGGGACATGCATGAGACATGCATGGAGCGGAGAGATCAGAGTAGGATGGAGACACGTGTACGAGCCAAATGTGGTGGCAAGGGAGGAAGCATTAGGTTTCACGCTCCAACCTTGACACCTCGCTCTTCTGGAACCTCCCACCCAATCCAGATGCCTCCCCGTTTCAGCGTTCCAGTCCCAACCTTCCAGTCCCAACCTTCCAGTCCCAACCTTCCAGTCCCAACCTTCTCACTCGTGACCCCCATCCCAGTCCAGCAAGGGAATTTTCTGTCCCTTTCCTCCCTTCTTTCATTTCCCCTTTTCGCCCCTTCCCCCTTCCCCTCACCCTCTCGTGCAGCGTCAAACATGAGAGGAAGCAGCTTCTCCGCAGCTTCCTGGCTGGACTTGGCACGGGCAAGGGAGGCCTGTGAGGCGGCGTCAGAGTCGCCAGCGTCCCCCGTGAGGGTGCCCTTCACCAGCGCCAGCTGCTTCACTATCAGGTACGCGTGGGCGAAACGGGGAGTGAACTGGAGGGGGTGGGGGCATGGAAGAGGGATAGTAAGGGCAGGGCTGACCCATGAGTGACCCTCGGAGGAGTTTCCAGAAGGGCGGCTTTCATGAGCGCCATCTGCTTCACTATCGAATGCGCGTGGGCGAAGCGTGGGGTGAGCTGGAGGGGGAAGGGGAGGAGGGGAAGAGAGCGAGGGAGTAGGGTTGGGGATATCTGTGAGTGGGTCTGGGAGGATTCCCCAGAGAGAATGGCTTCACCAGCGCCACCTGCTTCTCTGTCAGGTGCGCGTGGGCGACGCGTGGGGTGAAGTGGATGGAGAGAGGTGGGGCAGAAGGGAGCGGGGTAGAAAGGGTTGAGACACGGTGGCAGTAAGGGGACGGGAAGGGGGATGGCGGTATATAGGTCTAGGCCAGGGCGTGGGGTTGTGGATGTTGCTTGAGTGAGTGGTTTCACATGGAGTGATGCTTGCAGCCCTGAGGGCAGTATGTAGAGAATCAATCGGTGATGCACATTCCTGCGTTTGCGGGCATTATCTGGTGCAGGCGAGCTCATGCATGTATGTCTTTGTGTAGGTGTGTTTGTGTGGTGTGGGAGTATGCGTGCATGCATGTGTGGTGTGTGTGTGTGCAGTGTTGCGTCCGCATGTGCACGTCCGCATGGGCACGTGTGTGTGCGCACGTGCAACCACCCAACCACCCACTGCACACCTGGGTGCAGTCGCCCTTGGCATGGATGGAAGGCAGCTAGGAGGAACGACCGCAGTGCATCAGCAGCAAAAGGCGCAGCCCACCCAATCACAGCATGCATGCATGCGTGCGAGCCTGCACCCACCAACCACCCTCAACACACACACACACCTGGGTGCAGTCGCCCTTGGCATGGATGGAAGGCGGCTAGGAGGAACGACCGCAGCGCTTCAGGGAGCACGAGGCGCAGCCCATCCCTCACCCTGTGTGCGTGTGTGCGTGCACCCACCACCCACCGAACTACCCAGCCCCAGCACACCTCAGTGCAGTCGCCCTTGGCAGGGAAGGCGGCGAGCAGGAACGACTGCAGCGCCTCAGGCGGCACGAGGCGCAGCCCGCCCCTCACGGCACCCCTGTGCAGCTCCGCATAGGCCTTCCTGCGATTCTCCAACACCACCCTGCGGTGCACACACAGGTCAATAGGATCACAGGAGGGAGCGGTCTGTTGACGAAACACCTCAATAACAAACCAGGGAGAGGTACGATGCCTGGAGACGAGGAGGACTGGAGTGCCTTGTGAGCCATGAGGCGCAACCACCCCTCACGACCGCATGAGCGGTGCATTGGGAGAGGGTAGGGGAAGTGCGCATAGGAGGAGGGTAGGCATGAGGAACAAAAGGCATGGGAAGGAGGTGCGAGCATGTAAACTCGAATGCTCTCACCGCTGGAGGAACGGGAAGGTGGCAAGCGGGAGTGGTGAAGGCAAGGCAGGGAACTCACTCCTCGAGGAAGGTGAGGGCGAGGTGCGTGCTGGCGGGGGAGGCGGTGGGGTGGATGGCAGGCGGCAGCAGGCAGTGGATGAAGAGCGACATGCCCGCCACCCTGTCCGCCCGTGCTGCCTGCATGGGGGGCGAGACATGAGGGAGACGAGAGACAAGAGAGACAGAGTACAGAACGGAGCGGTTGAGATAGAGTTAGGGGAAGGTAATCGGGTGGAAATGGGTGGAGAGATGGACGCGACACAAACAGGCCATGGGCAAAGAAGGGTGAGGTAAGGACGCTGGGCGCACTGTGCTGGCCAGTGCAGGCTCACGCACAAAGCCCATAGCCTCTCATTATCCCACCTGCCCGTATATCCATGCAAGGATCGCCAGCCTATCCCCCTCTGCCACTTGGGAGCCTGCTGAAGCACCATCCTTGGTGGGCAGCTGCTGGGCACTGGACGGCCTTTGTTTGTCCTTTATGGGCGGCAGCAGCGCGTCAGGCACTTGCTGGAGAGTGGCGGGTCGCACGCGGAGGAGAATGGCGAGCAGCGAGAGAGCCGCGTCCTGCCAGGGAGGTGTTGGGGGTGGTGTGAAAGGGTTGGGTGGTACACAAGGGTTGAAGCGGGGGTTGGAGCGTCTTGACAGAGGGGTCCGGGGGTGGTGTGAACCGGCTGGGATGGCACGACAGGTTATGAAGAGAGTTGACACGGCAGATCAAGAGAAGCTAGGGGGGCAGACAGGTGGTTGCAATGAGCGGGCGTGGATGGTGGATGGGCAAGGGCGAGGAGCACAAGAGTGGGTTCCGTGAGGTGCGAGCAAGCTGACACGTGGCAGATACACGACGGGCTCGCGCTCTTCATCTCCTTTCTGATTTGGAAACGCAACCCCCCAGCTGGTCAGAGCAGGAATTCAATCCATCTCCATGCGCGCATTATCCTGCGTTCCTTCCAAAGAACACATGGGAAAGTTCTGAGAGCTTGCCTTGGAGATGGTCACGTGGTCGCTGGGCGGCCTATCATGCAGTGCCACGTGGATGAGCAAAGCTGCCACTGCTGCCAGGTCTTTGCTGCCCTGCGTCGCCAGCCAATCAGTAGCTGACCTGATCACCCGCTCGGGCAGGTCAAAATAAGGCACCTGGGGGCATGGGCATGGGGCATGGGGCATGGGGTATGAGGCATGGGTTTGGGGCATGGGGTATGGGTATGGGGCATGGGGTATGGGGGAGATGACACACGCGGCATGGGGCATGGGGTATGGGGGAGATGACACACGCGGCATGGGGCATGGGGTATGGGGTACGGGGTATGGGGCTTGGGGCATGGGGTATGGGCATGGGTCATGAGGATTGGGGCTTAGGGCATGGGGTATGGACATGGGGTATGGGCATGGGAGAATGGTGGCACGGGTAAGAAGCATGGGACATGGGGAAGGCACGAGAGTGAAATAAGGATGCAATCCAGGGGCAGTGCAGTCAATGATCGGTCAACTCACGGTCAACCCCTAGCCCACCCCAGTCCCTAGTCGGTCAGCTCCCAGTCAACGCTCAATCAGTCAGCTCCCAGTCAACGCTCAGTCAGTCAGTCAACGCTCAGTCAGTCAGCATCCAGTCAACGCTCAGTCAGTCAGCACCCAGTCAACGCTCAGTCAGTCAGCACCCTGTCAACACTCAGTCAGTCAGCACCCAGTCAACGCTCAGTCAGGGCGTATCCCTGGGTGGTGGCAGGGCCACTGTAGATGGCAGCCTGCCACGAACACATAAAACGCCAGGTTGGTGTCAGGAAATTTGGCGCGCGAATACAGGTGCGTGATTGGGCAATGCCCCAAAAATGTCACTTCAATGCCACCAAATACGAGTCGCGCGCGCCTCGGTAAAAATGTTGGTGGCATGCGGTTTTCCCGCATGCCACCAACTCTGCCATCTACAGTGGCCCTGCCACCACCCAGGGATACGCCCTCAGTCAGCTCGTCTCAGAAGCGTATGGCTCGCGCTTGCTGTCTTCAATTCTCATTGTCCATTCTCAGCTGAACATTGCTATCGTTCGCTCCTCCACGCGCACTCCTTCGTCCTTCACTGCTCACGTTTCACAATTTGTTTTTCAACTTTTGGTTGCTGTTCACTGTCCAAGGGCCCATTCGTTTCTTTCAATTCCATGCAGAACGTCTAGCACTATTTCGCGTGTCGACTTACATCCACAGCCTTGGAGATGCCTCTATCGCGTACAGTCTCCACGATGTCTATTCCTGCCTTCGGGAGCGACGCGGACACGTCAGCGTCGAAACTGCCGACCCATTGATCGAACGGCACAGGTGCGGCCGCTGGGGACGGGGATTCGGTCAAATGAGCCTCCGCACATTGCGTCGAGTGCGGTATTGACGACGCTTGAGGATCGGAGTCCGTGGCGCGAGACATTTGCCGTTGACCGTCAACGGTAACGGGGTTGACGTTCAGTCGTGGAACGCTGCAGTCACTGTAACTGTTTAACACCTCCCGAAGCCTCAAAGGCGGACTGGAATCGACGGACTGCGGGTTCGGAGCGAAGCTGCGGCTTCGAAATCAACCCATACGCTACTCGTCTGTGGTAATCAAGGTAGACTTAGGAGGAGTCCACATGAAAGTTAGGGACGAGCGGGTCACGAAGCCGCTGAAATGATGCTGTCGTGGAGCATGATGCATGAGAACTGTGGTTCGGGAGGGAGGAGAGGCTGGGCTGTTTTTTGTTTGTGAGCTGGGCAGCCTCGTACAAAAGTAAAAGTTTCGACCAGTAATTTCTCGAGAAACACACTGTAACTTCTTGCCTTAGTGGACAAGACTTCCTTTCAGTGTGAGTGGACGCCCGAGGCTACGAAACATGTCGTAGGCTTCCCCAGTTCGAGTGGGCCCAGTGTGACTGGAAGGCTACCGAACAGGGCCGAAGAGGTGGGGTGAAGCTGCCGCGCTGCACGCTGCACAGCGACTCGGCGGGAACTTTTCTGCGATTAGCTGCATCTGGACGTCTACCCCTGCAATGGCTCGAGATTCAGATGAACTGACGCACACTGTAGTTCATTATATTACGATAAAGCGATACAAAGCCCTAAAAAAATAAATAACCACCCCATAGCAGCTACTACCAATAAAGAGAATCTTACACACCCAATGTTCACAATTGGAATGCGGTCCTCCACTGAAACAAGGCACAAATTTCCCATAAACCGTGGCGAATGCGACTCCATCATATCCGTGGCAGCAACCGTGGCGACTCAGTGGAGGGCCGGGTGGCCGCACCCAAGAAGGGTGTCAGCTCATCCACCAGCTGCTCCATATCCTCCCGCACGTCCCGCTGCATCCGCCCCATCCCCCCTCCCATGCCCCCTGCGCCACCCTCCCCCTCCCCGCCCAGCCCCACTGCCCCCGTCAGCGTGTCGCTGACGCCTCGCGCCAGGTCAGCAAGCGGTGTGCCAGCTGTCATGGAGGCAAGCAGGGAGCTGCCTCGCGAGACCACGTCAGCAACAGTCTGAGGAATCTCAGGAACCACCTGCACCACCGATGACACCAAGGGGGCCCCAGGTTGGGGGTGCAGGGCGGCATGAAAAGTGACGCAAAGCGGTGCAGGTGGCAAAGAATGAGGCCCTGAACCATGGGCGGGGGGGCCTGTGGTGGCTGGAGCAGAAGTGATGCAGCGGATATGTGAGACAGCCTGCAAAATTTCTACCTTCAGGGTAACTCAGATTCATGCCACGTGGCATACCTGGCGCAGTGGCCGCACGTGGTCGCCTGGCAGCGTGCGCATGGCGAGGTCAAGGCACGCAGACACAGCGCTGCCCGCTGCCAGCGTGTCCGCCAGGTCAGCGGTCTCGTCGATGGTGTCATCCTTGAATCGCACCAGCAGGTTGCGCCGCACCCCGTAGTACGTCTGGGCCTGGCGGTGGGCGGGGAAGGGAAAGGGGGAGGGGGGGGGAGATAGCAGGTGGCTCTTCGGTGCGTGGGCGCAGTTGCTTTTTCAGTACGTGCACGAGCAGGTTGCGCCGCGCTCTGTAGTATGACTGGGCCTGGTGGTGGGCAGGGAGGAAGGGGGGAGTCAGGTGGGTCAAAAGGGCCTGAATTCAGGTTCCTTAATTTGAGCACAGCAGCAGGTTGTGCTGCATGCCGTGGTATGCATTGGCCTGGTGGTGGGCAGGGACAGTGGGGACGGAATGTTGAAACAACAGGCTAAAACGATAAACAGAAAAGAGAGGTTTTCACTAGCATGCAGTTGAGTACATATAGTGAACTCTAATTCGGGCAGTACTCGCTATAGAGTACCCCACTGCAGGCTACACAAACATCACATTCTGACACACCCCCATAGTCAAAGTGGGGTACAATCAACACAACAAACAGGCAGAGCAGTAGTTCACAATCATAATCAGCGCTAGAGACTATCACAGAGAGCAAGTGAGGAGGAGGAGAAACTGTGGGGGCGAGAAGATGCGAGACGACGGCTGAAGCTGCAGACACACGGGCAACAGAAGTGCGCAGCACTGTCGCTACCAGGCTAAACCCAGACTACACGGCGACAGGCGTTGCTGACTCGCTGTGCTCCCACGAGTGCTCACACTGTGGCTACCGGGCGCAGAGCCCCGGACTACTCAAACCACAGGGGGTCGTGGCTCTCTGGACTATCACGAGTGCTCACACTGTGGCTATCGGGCGCAGAGCCCCGGACTACTCAGGCCACAGGGGGTCGTGGCTCTTTGGACTTCAGGCGCTGCGGACGACAAGTCGGCTACCTACGAGCCGCGCGCGGGCCTGGCGCAGGTCGCGCGGGTCGCTACGGGCGACGGGGGGCGACGCGCGGATCGACGGGGCAGAAAGGCGCGCGGCGGGCAGGGCAGAAAACCGCTGCGCGCTCGGGGCGCGCGGCGGGAAGAAAAAACGCTGCGCGCTCCGAGCGCATGGCAGGAAGAAAACGGCGCGCGCCCGGGGCGCGCTACAGGCAGTAGAGCAGCGGAAGCATCGGGTGGGGCCCACCCACAGGATCGACCTAGGAGGGTCGACCTGCTTTGATAGCATGTTGAAACAGCAGGCTAAAACGATAAACAGAAAAGAGAGGTTTTCACTAGCATGCAATTGAGTACATATAGCAAACTCTAATTCGAGCTGTACTTGCTATAGAGTACCCCACTGCAGGCTACACAAACATCACATTCTGACACGGAAACCAGCAGGCGACTCTACGGTACCTGCGAACAAGTATCTTTTCCAAAGCGCACCCACCTTGAGGCGTACCCGTTGAATGACTAGGCCAGGTGTGAGAGCGAGGTAGGAGGAGGGTCTTACCTGGTGCGGGTGTGGACTGAACTGACAGCGCCTAGTGTCGCCTAGAAATAAAACTCCCCCCAGCGCCTGGTGCGGTGTGCACTGCCCTGACCAGGCCTGGTGCCACCTAGGATGAATCTCTCACCAGGCGGCGGGTCTCAGCTGGAGCAGGTGTGAACTGATCACGGCCATCAGAGAGGTCGCGGTACAGCGGTGGCAGCTGCTCCAGCAGCGGCAGCAGCTGTGCCACCATTGGTGCGTTGAGATCCCTCAGCTGCTTCACTGCCACGTCAGCCTGGGGCGGCATGGGGAGGGGAGAGAGGAGATAGGGGATGAGGAGACAGGAGACGGGGAGGGGCTGGGAGGATTGTAGGGGAGCAGGTTCACAGTAAATGGACGGCAGATGGGCAGGCTGCAAGGCAGGTGGGAAGACAAGTGTGTTGGAAAACAGTGATGCAAGAGCAGACGATTTGATTGATTTGCATGCACTGAGGGTGGATGGAAAAGGGAGAAGGAGAGAAGGGATGCGAGGCGTGGCACGGACCCCGAGTTTGAGGGTGGGGTTGTTGAGCAGCTGCGTGAGGATGGGGCCGAGACTCTGCGCCATGGGCATGATGACCGGCGAGAACAGTGGTATGGCCGCACTGGCCTCCTGCATTGGTGGGGAGGAAGGGGGGTTATTTCAGGGGGGAGAGAGGGGTGAGAGGATGGGGCCGAGACTCTGCACCATGGGCATGATGACCGGCGAGAACAGCGCGAACAGCCAAAGAACAAGGACCGAATAATGTAATGTGGACCCTCAATATGAATAGAAATGACACAAATACCCCCGTACATCGTTTGACTGGCCGGGACATGGTGATGGGGGAGAGGGGCGAGGGAAGAGGAACGAGGAGGACCATAGAGGTACCTTGTTGTTGAAGGAGAGAAAGACGTTTCCAGCTCTCTCCACGGCGTAGCGAGCACCTTATATGGAGGCCAGACGGGTATGGCAGTAGGGGGGGTCAGGAGGATATGACAAGAGGGGAAGACAGAGAGGAGATAATAGTTAGTGGCAAAGGGAGGACAGAGAGGAGATAATAGTTAGTGGCAAAGGGAGGACAGAGAGGAGATAATAGTTAGTGGCAAAGGGAGGACAGAGAGGAGATAATAGTTAGTGGCAAAGGGAGGACAGAGAGGAGATAATAGTTAGTGGCAAAGGGAGGAGGAAACGGAGGTGCGGTGCACAGGGATAAGGGCTTGCAACACAGGGATAAGGGCTTGCAACACAGGGATAAGGGCTTGCAACACAGGGATAAGGGCTTGCAACACAGGGATAAGGGCTTGCAACACAGGGATAAGGGCTTGCAACACAGGGATAAGGGCTTGCAACACAGCTGCGAGTGCTCTCCGGGACAGAAGTGAAACAATCAACAAACAGGTTTTGCGACATGGAGATGAAAATAGAAATGCGGAGAGACAAAGGCAGGGAGACAGGGAGGGGCAAGGCAGGGTGGGTTGAGGAGACAGGGAGGGGCAAGGCAGGGTGGGTTGAGGAGACAGGGAGGGGCAAGGCAGGGTGGGTTGAGGAGACAGGGAGGGGCAAGGCAGGGTGGGTTGAGGAGACAGGGAGGGGCAAGGCAGGGTGGGTTGAGGAGACAGGGAGGGGCAAGGCAAGGCAGGGTGGGTTGATGGAAAAGCAAAGCGGTGCGTACCAATGAGGAGATGCACGAGGGCGCCCATGGAGTGCCCCACGCCGTACACTGGCAGGTCCATGGGCTGATGGTGGCATGCCATGCATGAATGGGGTGCATGGGTGGGGAGCATGGGAGAACAATCGAGTCACGGGTTGGGACATGGCGCATGGGGTGAGAGTGTGAGCTCTGTGCATGAGTCACTGAATTTATACACAGAGCGTACGTCTGACTGACTGACAGCTTTAAGCAACAGCACATACATCATTGGGTGGCGTGGCTTCAAGCAACAGCACATACATCGTTGGGCGGCTGGGCTTTAAGCGAGAGGGAACGCATGCAGCGGTCGAATCTGAACTGCGCCTCGTCTGCGATCCTCAGATGGTCAAAGCCACTCGCGTACGGCGTTGCCACCACCATCAGACCCCTGGGAACGAGGAAGACGATTAAGGGGGAGGGAGGGAGGGAGGGTGGGAGGGAGGGAGGGAGGGAGGGAGGGAGGGAGGGAGGGAGGGAGGGAGAGAGGGAGGGAGGGAGGTAGGGTGGGAGGGAGGGAGGGAGGGAGGGAGGGAGGGAGGGAGGGAGGGAGGGAGGGAGGGAGGGAGGGAGGGAGGGAGGGAGGGAGGGTGGGAGGGAGGGTGGGAGGGAGGGAGGGAGGGAGGGAGGGAGGACGGGTGGGAGGGAGGGTGGGAGGGAGGGTGGGAGGGAGGGAGGGAGGGAGGACGGGTGGGAGGGAGGGAGGGAGGGTGGGAGGGAGGGAGGGAGGGAGGGAGGGAGGGAGGGAGGGAGGGAGGGAGGGAGGGAGGGAGGGAGGGAGGGAGGGAGGGAGGGAGGGAGGGAGGGAGGGAGGGAGGGAGGGAGGGAGGGAGGGAGGGAGGGAGGGAGGGAGGGAGGGAGGGAGGGTGGGTGGGAGGGAGGGAGGGTGGGTGGGAGGGAGGGAGGGAGGGAGGGAGGGAGGGAGGGAGGAGAAAAATATGAGATGTTAATGCTTTCTTGTTTGATAGAAGATTCAAGAATAAGGACAGTAGGCACCTGACATTCCTACGACACGGCAACTAAAACTACAACCTGAAAGGAATGGAAAAATTCTCAACTGAAGGTACATTTCTCGTGCAAGACGAGCGTGCGTTCGCCATTCTCAAGCCCGCCAGGCTGGTTGTTGCGGCTTTTTTAGCTGCTCAGGAGTCTCATCCGATACCGAATCAGGATTGCAGTGACAGCATCCTCTTCACACCTCTGTGCCAGCGTGGTGAGGAAGAGGCGGTAGGTGAGTTGAGGAGACGCGCCAACAAACGCTCCCCCAATGAAGTGTACCACCGCTGTCGCCTGCAGAGGGGCTGGCGGGCGCAGCACCCACGCTCCCTGTGATGGAAAGAGATGGACGAGTGCGAGTGTGCAGGGAGACAGGCAGGTGGAAGCGAGGAGGTGAATTTTGAGTGCAATAAAAAATCATGAAGGTTCCCCCTATAAAGTGCACCACCGCTGTTGCCTGCAGAGGTGGCGCCCCTCCGCTCTCTGTTATGCGGGAAGACAAAGAGGGAGATAGGGATGAAAAGAAAGAGGTGATCTTCGAGTTCACTCTCAATGAAGGCCCCTTCTTATGAAGTGCACCACTGCTGTCGCCTGCAGATGGCGGGCGCAGCACCATGCTCCCTGTGATGGGCGAGAGAGAGGGATGCGAGTGCGGAAGGGTGAGAGGGATGGCACTGGTGAACGTACAGGGGAGAGTGGAAGCGGGAGCATAAAGGAAATAAGGGCGGAGAGAAAGGCAGTCATGTTTTGCGCAGCACGGCACTTTCCTCTCGTTCTGCAGGCATTGTCTTCCTGCATGGACTCAAACGCCACCTCACTCTCCTCCTGCACTATCGCACGCTCTCACTCCACATCGCTCCTTCCACAACATCATCCTCCCCTCCTTTCCCTCTTCCCTTCCCCCCTCCCCTCTCCCTCTCTTACCTCCACCTCCTCCCACTGCCCTGCCACGTCAGCGCCCTGGGATTGCCGAGCAGACTCTGAAATCAGACTGAGGGGGGGTGGAGAGGAGGCGGCGGACAGGAGAGAAGAAGGAGAGGGAAGGGGGGCGGAGCACGGGGAAGAGAGGGAACGGACTTGAAATGGGCAGGTCAGGAAGAGCGAGCGAGGGAACATTCAACTGGACTAGATGCGAGCGAGCCACCGAGCGACTGACCGCCATCACTCATACCGTACCTCCAAGCAACTGCAAAACAGCTGGACGCTCCTCATGCGCCCGCATCTTTGCACTTTTGCACCTGGTAACACCGCCCATCGCGCCACCACGACCTGCCGCCATGCTATCCGTGTGGCTATCACATGATAGCACGATAGCACGATAGCACGATAGCCCCGCAGATTTGCTGCCAGCCGCGCTTGCCCAGACGAATAAGAACCTGCTCTACACGCTGTCCATCCACTAGTATCAGCTGCACATTCATACCCCACTAGCCACCAGGAATGAACGACCAGGTACCTCTCAATGCGGCTGTACAGCTGAATGCTCTCGTCCTTCTTCCGCCTCGCGCTCCCATCCGCGTCATTCTCGCCAGATCCCCCGCCGCCAACTGCGGCCACTGGCCGCACCGCCCTGCGAGCCTTCCTACCGACGACATGACAGGCTGGCAGGCTGCTTAGTCTATCGCTGCGGTAGAAGCTGCTACTCCTTGTCGCCACCAAGGATTGCGGCGATACGCGCGGGGCAAGCGCGATTGGCGTCGAAAGGGACGCGACAGATGAATTCGTGGACGTGGGGAAGTGACGTGGCGCGGAGTTCCACGTGGCACAACGCAGCTCGAGAGAAGTCATGGTTCGACTGGATTCTACGGGACAAATGTTGTGATAAGTGCAATATGTCTGGTTTCACAAATGTACAAGCATTTGATGGGTTGCTTGTGGTTCAAGTTACAGCGAACTTTTGGCGTCGCAAACATATCTTCGCTCATTCATTCCGCGGGCGGGGATTTGGGCCTAGGTTATCGCCAATTGACTCTTGCGAAGATCTGTGTTACCTTGTCGTCGTCGTGACGGCTTGCGTTTGTGAGATTAGACACGGTTGTCGTGATTTCGTCGTTCAGCGGCGATTTTGTCACCCAGCACCAATTTCGTCCCCCAACAGAATTCCCTTCTGGGAGCCTGTTGCCGGTTCGCGAGTAACCTTTTGGAACACTGAATACCGTCAACGCAAACTCCCCCATCTCCATGTTACCACAATGCAGGATTGACCAAGAACAGCCAGCAGTTCGAGGTGATAACAACTCGTTAGCGGCGCGGATTGAAATTCCATTACCGTTAGGACCCATCGCACCTCTGTGCCTTTGGCACATTTCCGTCTTTACGCTATGTGGGTTCCAGCATCCATCACTGCCGCCTCTAATTTGCCCAGCCATCGGCGGCACCACGGGGCCTGATTCCGCACAAAATGGAACCCCCCCACATGCCCTCCCCCATCGCACCCGTCGTCCCGCTCGCTGCGCCACCGTCCCCGCCCAGCCCGTCGCTCCCCGTGTCCCCGCTCCTGGTGGTGGCGATGGGGCTGCCAGGCGCGGGCAAGAGCACGCTGTGCGCCGCCCTCGCGCAACTTGCGCGGCAGGTGAGCGATTATCCCGCGCCCCTTCCCTTCACCTCCCAATCTATCCCGCGCTCCATCGCTCTTGAAGGCGTCTCAAGACTCGACCCAAACTCTCAATGTCGCACAACGTTACAATGTGGCACGGCTGAATGCGGATCACCACCGTGTGCGCGCAGGCAGGCGCGCATACGACCCTCGTGTCGTTCGACAGCTATGCGCGTGGCGGAGGCAACGAGGGGAGCGTGGGGCAGGAGGGGAGTGCGGAGGAGCAGGGGAGTGAGGTGGAGGAGGGGAGTGTGGGGGAGGAGGGGAGTGCGGAGGAGCAGGGGAGTGTGGTGGAGGAGGGGAGTGCGGAGGAGCAGGGGAGTGTGGTGGATGAGGGGAGTGTGGTGGAGGAGGGGAGTGTGGTGGAGGAGGGGAGTGTGGGGGAGAAGGGGAGTGTGGTGGAGGGGAGTGTGGTGGAGGAGGGGAGTGTGGGGGAGGAAGGGAATGTGGGCGGTGTTGCAGTTCCTGACACGTGTGCTGCTGCTTTCAGTCATGATGAGTGGAAGGTGAGGATTGCTGACGTGGACAACTGAGGCCCTTATTTAAATACAATCTGCTTGTGGTTCCCACCGTCTCTGCATTTGGTGCCTCAACAGCAGGACTGCCTGCCTTTCCTCTTTGTCATTCATTCCCATCATGCTCCCTCGGTTCATCCCATTGCGTGCACTGTGCTGCTCTGACTGCTGACCCACACATGCCCCACTCCACCCATACACGCCCCCATCCACACATAAATGCCCCCATCCTCACATATTCCACCCACCCATACATGCCCCCATCCACACATTCCACCCATACATACATGCCCCCATCCACACACATTCCACCCATACATACATACATGCCCCCATCCACACACATTCCACCCATGCACGCCCAGGCCAGTCGTGTCACGGCACTCGCAGCACTCACTGCAGCCCTCAAACGTGCCACCCAGGGGGGCCGTGAGGGTGCTGCTGCTGCTTGGGCAAGTGCCGCAGAGACAGCAGCAGAGACAGCAGCAGCAGCCAAGCCAGCAGCAGCGGCGGCGTGGGTGCATGCGCGTGCAGCACCGACACACATGGTGATTGCAGACGACACCATGCATCTGCGCTCCATGCGCCTGCAGCTGCTGCGACTCGCTCACTCATGTGAGCTGATGCAAAGCCCTCGTGCATACATCGCCCCATGCATAGGCCCCATGCATAGGCCCCATGCATAGGCCCCATGCATAGGCCCCATGCATTGCTCATCCTAGTCAAACACGGGCCTCGGTCCAATTGAGTTCATCATGATCATCCCCCCACCTCTTCCCCCCCTCCCCCCGTGATGATAGAATTGTTTTGGGGGCGTCTCAAAGCAAATGGAGTTTAGCGTGATCAAAGCAAACCCTCCCATCCCCTCCTGCCCGCGCCTGTGCCATCCTCTCTTTCTGCTTCCCGCCCACACAGATGGTGCCACGTGTCTCATCCTCCACGTCACCACGCCCTTAGACCAGTGCATAACCCGCAATGCATGTCGCCCTCCCGCCGCCCGCCTGCCGTCCGCCGTGATCCGCCGCAAGGCCGCCCGCCTTGAGCCTCCCCGGGGGCTCCCTGTGGTGACTGTGCGTAGGGGGGGGTGTGCGGAGGGAGCAGAAGAGGGAAGTGCGAACAAGCGGGGGGCAGAAGGCGGTCATGGGCGAGAGCAGGAGGGCGGGCGAGAGGGAGGCGATGGCACAGCTGCTTCTGCTGCTGCTGATTCTGGGGTGCTGTGTTGGTCGCGGCGGGGCGAGTGGGAGGCGGGGCGGTGTGTGGCGGTGGACTTGGGTGGCGTGGCTGTGGGGGAGGTTTCGGATGTGAGGTGAGGGAGGGGAGGTGAGAGGGTGAGTATGTGAGGGGTGGAGGGGGGTGGCGGATGAGATGATGGAGCGCGAGAGGTAGGAGGGGGTGAGGGAAGGAATGGAAAGGCGTTGTGACTGCAGCTCTTGACCACTACCCAACCTTTCGCTGCCACCTCTTGCCCTCCACTTCTGCGCCTTAACCCATTGATCCCGCCTTTCTCCCCCTCTGATTGAATTGCAAGGACCCATGAAGTCTAATATTGAGGCGCCTTAAAAATATCCCGCCCCATCCCTCTCTCCTGCGTGCAGTGCAAGGGCCCTTGAAGCCCTCTTCTCCGTCTGGTGCCGCTCCCTTCCCACTGCTATCACCCATGCCTCCCACAGCAGCGGCGCCACCAGCACCAGCAGCACAAGCGCTAGCAGCAGCAGCAGCAGCAGCAGCAGCAGTGCAGTGCATGGGTTTGACCTGCGGCTGAGGAAGATCCTCTCAGAGGCCTTGAGGCAATCTCCAGGTGCAGCGGGTGAGCCAATGTCCCCAAGGTGTGTTTTGCCATTACTCCCCACTGCACCGTGCTCGCCTGCCTGCTGCACTCCTCCTATCCGAGCAGTGCAGTGCATGGGTTCGACCTTCAGCTGAGGACAATCCTCTCACACGCCGTGAGGCAGTCGTCAGGTGCTGCCGATGAGTCGCAAACAGGGGGTGGGTTCAGCGCAGGGGGGAAGGGTTTTTAGGCGAGGGTGCAGATCCATTCCAGGTGCACAAAGGTTTGTCACTTACCCATCCATCAGTTTGACCGTGTGCTTTCCGTGCTCATGTAATGGTGTGCAAAGTATGTTTTTCTTTTTTTTTTGTCAATCCAAATTCAGATGCTTTTTATCTGGAAAACTTGGGTGCGGCGACTCATAGTTGGCAATGCATCATGCATGCAAGCCCACTCATCTCACCCCGACCAAGATCCATGCTCCCCCGACACCTGCCAAATCTTGCATTGTTCTTCTGTGCCATGTCGTGTGCCTGTGTGCATGCCATGCCACCAGGCCACCCACAAGTGCGCAGGGGGCAGGCGGCAGCACTGAACGCCGCTCGACGGTCCATTGCTGCAGCAGTTCAGCCGCCACGTGGAGTCAAGCAGAGAACTCGGAGCGAGAGCAGCACATCCGCATGCTGCATCATCACACGAACATAGCTCTGGGACATCAGTGCATGATGCCATGCCGTCTCCACGTCGCGACTGCATGACATCAATGCAGGATGCCATGCCATCCTTATGTGGTGAATCTGCACCACCATTACCTGATGCCAAGCTGCCTCCGGCCCCACTAGCCACACCAACAGCAGAAGATACTTCACAGCAACTGGGCGTTGGGAGCCGGTGCAAGCAGAGTGGCGATGTTGTGGGTGGTAGTGAGTCGCCACTGTTGAGTTTCGCGGACGATTTGGTTTTGGAATTTCGTAGACGATGTAATCAAGTTATGGGTATTATTGAAAGTGAGTGAACTGTCTCGCTATATAGATTGTTATGAAGACAGAAGGTAACAAGTGCTCAGTAAAACATACTTTGGTGTTACGGGTGCAATGAATCGAAGTAGCGAGGATTGCACTAAGGTGTCAAACGAGTACCAAGATGTGAGCTAAGGCATGAGCGAACATTTATATGCGAACATGCAAACGGTAACGCGATGCGTGCGAGCTAGCTAGTGCTACGCTGGCAGCGAGGCTCGGGCTAGTCCCAAAGCGTAGGCCGACACGGCCGGGCCAGCAGTGCGAGGTTTGGCAAAACAGTGCGCGCGAAGTTGGCGAAGTCCCGTTAGCAGTAACGGGCGAACAACGGCTATTGCTTTACGCGATGTAGTCGGGTTCCGTAAGGAATGCCGAGAAAATTCCTTACACTACCCCCCCCCCCTTCAAGAAGCCCCCTCCGCTATGCGAGTGCGTGTATATCGCGGAATCCTCGGCTCTTCAGGTACACTTGCAGGGCAGGGTGGTTTTCAATGTTGGCCAGGGGCACCCAGCTATCTTCAGTTGGCGTGCGGTCCTTCCAGCGAACGAGGAATTCAATCCTCCTGATTCCCGTGGTGTGGTGAATCCGATGGCTCATGATTTTTCCGGGCTCGATGATCGGCTCCGATGCAGGGCGAGTCATGGAATGCGGGCGGTGACGAGGCAGTTGGCTGGTGGTTGGGATGTATGGGCGAAGTAGGCTGACGTGGAACGATGGGTTGATGTACCAGTCGGTCGGTAACAGTAGGTGCGCGGTTACTGGCGTGATCATGTGGCTGATTTGGAATGGGCCACAGTAGCGCGGTCGAAGTTTTGGTACGTCGGGCAGTCGCAGATTTTGCGTGTCGAGCAGTACGCAATCCCTTGACTGGTATGTGACTGAGCGGTGGTTGTCAGATTATATGACTTAGCTGCTGTAGGCTATAGTGGGGTAGCACATATGGGGTACAGCTTTCTAGGGTTGGTACTTGTACCCAACTTTCCCTTAGTCTATTCATTCTCGTTCAATTTCACATGGTATAGAGCAGGTTCCCCTGTGGGAACTGTTCCTAGGGCCCACCAATTTTTTTTTTCATGCCCGGAGCGAGCTCAGCCTCTGCCCGAGTCGCGCTCCCCTCTCACGACCCCGTCGCGCCGCCCTTACGACCCCGTCGCGCTGCCTTAGCGGCCCCGTCGCGTCGCGCCTCCCTAGCGGCCCCGTCGAGTCGCCCTTGCGACCCCGTCGCGCCGCCCTCGCGGCCCCATCACGTTGCGCCGCCCTCGCGGCCTCGTCACGCCGCCCACGCGGCCCCGTTCCGCCGCCCTCGCGACCCCGTCCCGTCGCGCCGCCCTTGCGGCCCTTTCGCGCCGCCCTCGCGGCCCTTTCGTGCCGCCCTAGCGACCCCTCCACACCGCCCTCGCGGCCCCGTCGCCCCACCCTTGCGACCCCGCGGCCCCACCCTTAAGGCGCCGGTCGCCACCCTTCGTGGCCCCGCCGCCGCCCTCAGCAGCCTCGTCGCCGCCCCACCCGGCTCCGCCGGTCGCCACCCTTCGTCCCTTCAGCGGCCCTGCCACCCTACGCGGCCCCGCCGTCACCACCGAGCCGTCGGCGCCGCTGAGCCGCCGTTGCCGCTGTGCTACCGAGCCGCCCGAGCCACCCGAGCCGCCCGAGCCGCCGAGCCGCCGCTGCTGCCGAGCCGCCCGAGCCACCCGAGCCGCCCGAGCCGCCGAGCCGCCGCTGCTGCCGAGCCACCCGAACCGCCCGAGCCGCCGAGCCGCCGAGCTGCAGTTGCTGCCGAGCCGCCGAACCACCGAACCGCCCGAGCCGCCCTGTCCGGTAAGAGCAGCACCTCTATCACTACGCTGCCCTTAGCCTATTGCTCGCGCTGATAGTCTACTGCTGTCATGGCTACCCCCAGCGTCCTCTCTTTTGACGCTGAGGGTCGGGCCATTGACTTTGACGTCTGGGTAGATGACCTGCACCTTTTCCTACAGTGCGATAGGGCAGACGGTCTCTCCCTCTTTGACCTCACTTCTGGTGCCTCTCCTGCCCCTGGTGCTGATGTTGACGCCACTGCTCGCTCATAGTGGGCCACACGCGATGCTGCTGCACGTCTTGCTGTGCGTCGCCACTTGCCTACCTCTGAGCGTGCACACTTTAGCCAGTACAAGAGTGCTCAGACCTTGTACGACGCTGTAGTTGCACGCTACTCCTCCCCTGCCACTGCTGCACTTAGCCGCCTCATCCTGCC